AAAAAAAAAAAAAAAAAAAAAAAAGAAAGGTATGTGTTCTACTTCCTCTTCTAGATAATTTAAATTTTTGAACTTTGGCCAAGACTGACTTTTAAAAGCTGAGCTAAAAATTGTAAGAATTAAGGAATTACAGGTGTCCCTGGGAAACCATGGAGAATTGGTTCCAGGATCCCCCACGGATACCAAAATCCACAGATGCTCAAGTCCCTTATATAAAATGGTGTAGTATTTATACATAACCAATGTATACTCCCGTATACTTTAAATCATCCCTAGATTACTTATAAAATCTAATACGTGATTTCTATGTAAATAGTTGTTACACTATATTGTTTAGAAAATGACAAGAAAAAAGTCTGTACATGTTCAGTACAGATGCAACTACCCATTTTTTTTTCAAGTATTTTTGATTTGCAGTTGGGTGAATCTATGGATGCAGAATCTACAGACACAGAAGTCCAACTATATTTTAGAGTTTATTTTTGACCAAGGTGCCAATGAAAAGTCTTTACTTAAATAATTGTAAGTTTTTCCTCATAAATGGTGCAACTTATGGAATAAACTTAAGTGTCCCAGTTTGCTTTGACTCTCCAGATCATATTTAAATTTGAACTCAACTTTAATAATTCTGTATGTACCTGCTTCTGCACAGCCATATCTCAAATTTCCCCGGATTCTGATTTTCTATCTGTATTTTTTCTCACTTTGATTTTCATCAATTTATTTTTTCCAACATATTGGTAGGTTACAATAACCCACCGTAACTGCACTGCAAAATAACGCAGGAAACAAATAAATGCTTAAGACGTACAAGGGGCCTGGTTGTATCCTCTTCTTCCTCGGAAAGGGCAGACTCCTGAGAATACCAAGCTGAAGGAAGAGAAACAAAACAGATTTGCTTCAAAGTTTCAGACAAAGGAATATAGAAATCTGCAGTACCAGGTGGCTATAAGACCCTCTACAGATGAATGATCCCTGAAGCAATGAGAAATGTTAACCGCCATCTAGCTACAGAGATACTGAAATGGACATGGATAGCTAATTTAATCATATGGGGTCTGATGGGGATTTCTGGAGGGCTAAGTATATAGTGCCCAGTGAATCTATTGGCAATATTTTATCGCCCTAGAATCTTGCTGTTTTATTTCTAACAGGAAGTTTATCTTAAGTACATAATAATAGATACCCCAAAAATTTAAAGATTGGGATGACCTTTAAAGTTTTTTTTTTTTTCCTTTTTTTTTTTTTGAGATGGAGTCTCACTCTGTCGTCCAGGTTGGAGTGAGTGCAGTGGCCTATCTCCGCTTATCGCAACCTCTGCCTCCTGGGTTCAAGCAATTCTCCTGCCTCAGCCTCCCAAGTAGTTGGGATTATAGGCATCCACCACCATGCCTGGCTAACTTTTTTGTATTTTTAGTAGAGACAAGAGTTTCACCATGTTGCCCAGGCTGGTTTCGAACTCCTGACCTCAAGTGATCCATTTGCCTCGGCCTCCCAAAGTGCCAGGCTTACGGGCGTGAGCCACCACGCCTGGCCTAAAATGTTATTTTTTAACCATAAAGAATTTAGGGCCAGGCACAGTGGCTCATGCCTGTAATCCCAGCACTTTGGGAGGCCAAGGCGGGCGGATCACGAGGTCAGGAGTTCGAGACCAGCTTGGCCAATATGGCGAAACCCTGTCTCCACTAAAAATACAAAAATTAGCTGGGCTTAGTGGTGCATGCCTGTAGCCCCAGCTACTTGGGAGGCTGAGGCAGGAGAATCGCTTGAACCCAGGAAGCGGAGGTTGCAGTGAGCTGAGATAGCACCACTGCACTCCAGCCTGGGCGACAGAGCAAGGCTCTGCAAGACTCTGAGACAGAGCAAGACAGAGCAAGACTCTGTCTCTCCCCCCAAAAAAAAGAACTCAGGAAAAAAACCTTCATCAGAGACTGGCTACAGGTAATGTAGAACATTCATATGATAGAATGCAATACAGTCATGATTCTAAAGACATTTTTTAAAAACTTGATTTATTTTTTCCCCTAAAAAATTCAGGGCCTTTTGGTTAAAAAGGAAAGCCTGAATACCTGCATTTATTAATATTTCCACTCTCTCCCAAACCAATCATAATGTTAATAAAGGAAAAAAGGAGGCTAAAACTCATAAGGACAAAGAATATAGAAGACTTCCACAGATAAGAGCGAGCTGTCAACAAAATGTAGGAAGCTAGAGAGCAGACAAATGAGTGGTATCTAACTTAACCAGAGAAAGGTGCAGCTTAAGTAAGGGTGGGAGGAGGGTGGGGAAGCCATGGCAGGACCCTAGAAAGGTTCAGGAATGGAGTTACTAATTATTTCCGCGGACTAGAGGTTGGGAGTAGGGCTGAAAACCAGAAAACCAAACTTAAGATGTCATAAAAAGATGTTAAGACCACCTGATGTCTTCTTTTACCCAATATGGCATAGTCACATTTCCCTCATATTGGCAACAGGAAAAATTAAAGATTTTTTTCTCTAGATATACTGAATGAGACAAGCTCTGGATTTCAGGCATATCAGATTCAGATAAAGGTGGGGTTGAGGCAATGCAGAGAAAAAATAATTAAATAAAAGTTCTCATATTGCAAGATGAGGTGCCCAACATGCCCACTTCCTTCCTTTGTCTCCCAAAAAGCGGGAGTTCTGGCTTGTACTCCTCAAGCAAAATCTAGGAATTCTTGCTAGGGAAACTGACTAGCCCAAAAGAAAGTGCTTACAGATCCTGACATCTGGTCAACCTTCAACCTCCAAAAAATAATACCATATTAGAAAGAAGGGCAAGGAGAAGAGTGTGTTGGGGTGGAGGTGAAAAGGAAGGGGTTAGGTAGTGAAAGAGAGCTAAATCCTTAACTCCATTATCAAAAATCAACAGGAAATATCTAAAACTGAGAAATCAAGCATTAGCAGTATAAGAATGTTATTTAGAAAAAAAGGAGGTGGATACCAGAATATTGAGACAAAAATGTGTAAAGTGGTTGCCTTTCAGGAATGGGAACAGGGGATGAGGATGGATGGAATAGGAAGCTTTTGTTTAAGTTATAGTACAGCATTTAAAGATCTATTTAAATATACTCTTTAAGAAATAAAAATTGCGTTTCAAAATTTATTTTTAAAAAATCAAATAGTCAAATGAATAAGATTAAAAACAAATGTCTCCCTTGCATAGTCAACTCACACACGTGACCTTTCTCAGTAGGAGTAATGAATTTCTTTCCACTGTCCCCAAATGTAGAGCCTTTCTCTCCTAAGCTCTGTCCACCTATGAGCCACCTCACCTTTCCTTTCCACCATGTGGCTCAAATGCTCCATTGTTACACAGCTACTGCTGATCACTGAAGGTTCAGATGTCATTCAGACTTTGCCTGCTCTGGGCAGAAGGGTCAAGACAGGCTCCAGCAACTCCAGGGTCCACTCTCTTTCAGGACTCTCCAGCCTCTAAGGCAGGTCTCAGGTCAGGTCTCCTTCCATGATAGACACCTGTTCCTCAGACTTCTATTTGCACTGCAGATGTGTTTTATCCTTGTGGGGCCAGGACCTGTGAATTAGGATATAAATCTAATTTACCTGGTGCGTTCTCACTGGCTCCCTGTGATAACCAGCTTCCAAGATGGCCGCCAGTGATCACTGTCTTCTGGTATTCGTGCCTTTGTAGATCCCTCCCACCCTGAGTACCTTTGACCTGCACAACCAATAGGATATTGCAGAAATGATGGTGTGTGACTTCTAAGGTTAGGTTATAAAAGACATTAGGGCTTCTGTCTTGCATGTTTGGATCATGTACGTTGAGGGAAGCCAGCTGCCATACCATGAGGACACTCAACCAGCCCTACGGAGAGGCCTCCTGTTGACAGCTAACACTAACTTAGAAGCCAGCTATCTTGGAAGTGAATCCTCCAGCCCCAGTGCAGCCTTCTGATGACTGCAGCCCAGCTGACATCTTGACTGCAACTTCATGAGATACTCAAGACAAAATACCCAGTGAAGACACTTCCCACAGAAACTGTGAGATAATGTTTATTGTTGTTTAAGCCACTAGTTTTTGAGGTAATTTGTTACACACTAATAGATAATTAATACAGCCTCAAACACTAATCTTCCTTATTTATAATTCATATGCTCTGGACACACTGACCAGAGGTGTAAACAAAGTGATGTTTACCTATCTGTTCTTCAAATATCTTCTATGTGTCTAAAAGTGTATGCTCGATGAGGTGACAGATATAAACCTGAGTCAAAAAAACACCCAGATCTGCAGCAACCCCAAATTTGGCATGAAAGAGAGTTTCATTCAAAGACCAGCTATTCCATTCCATTTCTGTATTATCTTGGCAATTGAGTTAAGAGAGAACTGCAATTTAGAATTCCAAGTCTCTTCATCTGAAATGACAATTATACTCATGTCACAATAATATGGGATGAATATATGAAATGACTATTAAGATATATGAATTTAGGCCGGGCGCGGTGGCTCACGCCTGTAATCCTAGCACTTTGGGAGGCCGAGGTGGGAGGATCATGAGGTCAGGAGATTGAGACCATCCTGGTTAACATGGTGAAACCCCGTCTCTACTAAAAATACAAAAAATTAGCCGGGCGTGACAGTGGGCGCCTGCAGTCCCAGCTACTTGGGAGGCTGAGGCAGGAGAATGGCGTGAACCCAGGAGGCAGAGCTTGCAGTGAGCCGAAATCGCGCCACTGCACTCCAGCCTGGGAGACAGAG